GGGGGGGGGGGGGGGGGGGGGGGGGGGGGGGGGGGGGGGGGGGGGGGGGGGGGGGGGCAGCGTTGTTTGAGATACCTGCTGTCTTCCAAATTTTTATCTGGTTTTTCCTTTCTTTGCTGGGGTTAGAACTGTGTGTACCACATCAAGAGAGCGCAGGCTGATTTAAAGCCACAGTGTCTTCACCCAAGCCTAAATCTGAGGAAGGATTAAACCCTGCAGATCCGCCCAGGGCCTGGCATTCAGGAGTAGGACTAACAGTAGTAACAAACCACATCCAAGATGGATGGAGCACTCAGCCTCTGACACCCCTCTCTCCACACCCTCTGCTCAGGGAGTTTTTGGGTTTTCCTGCTGCTAAATAGATATTGTGTTGTTCAGAATTCAAAATTGAAAAGTCTGTCCCGCCTCCAGCTTCTGTTCCCCAGCTACTGACCTCCCTCCCTGACATAAACAATGTGAATGGTTTATCAGGTATCCTTCTAGGACTGTATACACATACAAGCAAATATGTCAAAAATCCCCCCCTTTTATGCAAATGTGCAGCATTTTTACTTTGTTTTAACTTAGTAATCTATTTTGTAGATATTTGGGAGTCTGTTGGAGTAAGTTTTGGGTGTAGTCTGCTGATGTGGGAGAGAATATGGGAGGCTTCTTTGTGTTGTGATTGTCCTTGAGGTGTGGCCTGGAGGAGAGTGTGGAACCTCCCTGGGCCCAGAGGGGCAGGCAGTCATGGATCCAATAGATCTCTCATCCTGGCCCCCTGGCTCATTAGCCAATTTTTTATTTTATTCCATTTAGGGGTTTTTTTTGGTTTCTTTTTTTGTTGGTGGCTGGCTGGTACAGGGATTGAACCTTGGTGTTATCCGTACCATGCTCTAACCAACTGAGCTGACTGGCCAGCCCTATTCCATTTAGTTTTAAATGTCAGCTTTGTTTGACTTTGGCTTAAATGTTGTTTTTGACCCACAGATTCAGGGTATACAAGATAGGGTATAGGAAAGCAAATGGCCATTATCTTCACTCTTGTCCTGTAAGGTGACCTGGAATAGCAGCAGTGTCTAGCAAATAAAAGCTGCCATTTAGTGACTCTGTGTCAGATCTTTTACATGCTTTAATTTAATCCATGCCAAATCCTGTAAGATAGGTGGATGCGCCTCACATTACAGGTAGCACAGCTCCGGTGTCCACTCAGGCCCAGGCGACTACAAAGCTCTTGCTGTTTGCCCCATCCTGCCTTCCCTCCACAGAGTCAGCTGCCGTCAAGATTCACATGCAGAGGGCTCACCGTTTATTATGTCCCTGGGGAGGTGGAGGGAGCCCTTGTGCTCAGGTCTGCTCTAGCTCAGGGCTTGAGAGTCTGGTTCTGCAGGCCTCCCAACAGGAGGAAGCAAAGTGGGACAGTCTCACAGCGACTCAGCTTACCAGGCCCAGTTCCTCGACCCCCGTGGTTCCCTCACATCCTTAACCTATTTTCCCTTTCCATTTAGGGAACACGTCCAGCCGTGGAGTCAAGAACACGGAAAGGTCAGTGTGGTAGCTTTTCCTCATCTAATTGCAATCCCTCCCTCCCTAAACAGTTCCAAGTGACTCCCTCTGTGGCAGCATCTGCTCACTTTCCTGTGGCAGGAAGCGAGTCCAGTTTGTGTTGCCCCCTCTTGTTTGTTTCTAGGTTTGGTTGTGTTTCCAGGTCCTGGGCCTTGGATTTCTGGGGCAATAGAGCTGCATCCAAAAGCAAGTCCAAAGCTTCTGGGCTGGGGCTTCTCCTTTACAGCCAGGACTCCATGCAGGCACTTTGGCTCCTGCATCCTCTGGCTATTCCTGGGCATCGATTGAAGTTCAGCATCCTGTTCCTTCTGATTCAGTAGGTTTGGGGTGGGCAGTTTGACAGCTGCCTAGTGTTTTCAGAAATGCCAGACTCCCCAAAACTGACAAACTGGCAGATTGATAGACTCTACCTCCTGGCTTTGCTTGGGCAGCAGGAGAGTTTCTCCCCCTGGATGTTTCTCCCAAAGATGCTGTTTAAGTGGCATTTATTTGTGCACAAGTAGGAACAAAAGTCGCTTGGCACCTCTCATGATCAAAATTCAAGGAAGTCTGTGGAGGAATTGATTTTAATCACTGTCTCAGTTAATTAGAAAGACAAGAAATTGTCCCAAAAAAGTAATTAATGGGAGCTGCTGCTCAAGGAAAAAAGGCTGCTCTTTGCTTGGGCTTTAGTAGTAGCCTTGGGCAGGATTGGGAGCTGTGAAGTGCCAGCCTCCTTGGGGAATTTGTGGCTGTTAGGTCTGCCCAGGCTCCCAGACTGCCTTGACTACCCCTGACAGGACTCCTGGTCACCAAGAGAAGATAGAAGTGGTTCTTAATGCCTAAGAGATTTTGTGAACTATGCAAAGAACTAGCTAGTAGGGGGTGAATCTCTTGATTAATTAACTCCAAATTTGTCTTCTCAGCACCACTTTGCCCTGTTGTTTAAGGAACCAGATTTTATCTGTAATATCTTTCTAACATCTTGCTACTAAGATTGCTAAACACTCTTTATCCCTCTTCCTCTCTGCTCCCTGTGAAAAAAACCCAGGGTCCTCATGGAGAATTCTGCCTGGGGAGTGTTCTCAGCCCTCTCAGGACTCTGAGGCACCAGGAGCAAAGGTCTAGAAAGGACGTAGGATTTTGTGGGACCGACCCTCCCAACCCTGCTTTTAGCAGAAACCAGCAGAGGCTGGGGTTCTCCCATCAGCCAGGTTTCTAATGGTGGTGGCATCATTAGTTGGTTGACAGCCTGCAGAACCCACTCAGGAAGTCCTGTGTCCTGCTGGGAGGACATGTCTAGGGCTTCAGTTACCGTGCAACCTCTGTCCCCCAGTAGTGCACCTCTTTCTTCCAAGGGTAGAGTCTGGAGGAGATTGGAGGGGTGCCTCACCCCTGTGAAATGGAAAGGCACAGCTTGGGGTGGCATGTTTTCCAGCCTTTGTGAGGCTCTTAGGCTTTGGCAGAGCCTCACCTCTCTGAGCATTTCCTCCGTGTGTAGTACAGGTTCTGCACTAGGGCAGACTGACAGCTGATATGTTCTTCCCCTTTTAGTGGCCAGACTGAAGGCCCCATTCCTCAAAGTCGAAGATGAGAGCAGGTGAGTGGGACCTCCTCCCTCTCCACTTGCCCGCACCAGGCCTGAACAGAGGAGGAAGAGGTACTCAAAGACCTCCCGCTGACACGGAGATGTGGAGCCCCTCAATCCTGCATCTGCGACTTCCCCAGAAGCCACTTTCTCCTACTGTCATGGAGAAGTCTCAGACAGACCACGAGGGCCTTTGAGGGTGACATTATACAGTTGATACTCCTCTTGGAGATGAGTCAGAGGTTAATGATCCCGTGTGTGAATTACCTCCATTTAATACTCTGCTTTTATGAGCTCATGATGTCCATCCAGGCTCGTTATTGCTGCTCGCTTCTCCCCCAGTGTGTGCTGACACTTAACGTCGAATCATTGCTGCCCCAGTCACAGTGCTAGTACAGTCCAAGACATCATCTTGGCTGAGGAGAGGATGCTGGGAGTGCTACTGAGGATTCCCTTGTCAGACTACCTCATACTTGATGGAGCCTTTTTGTTTTGCTTTGGAAAACCCTTTTCTGGTACATGACAGCCCTGGGTGAAAAAAGCATGAGGAGAGTCCATCCTCTTCCTAGTGGGGAAAACTGAGGTCAGAGAAAGTAAGTGACTTGTGGGCAACCACCGTGATATTAAATTGCAACCCAAAGCCGAAATCCAGGTGTCCTGACTGCCCTGCCTGGTGCCCTCCCATTCTGCCTTCTCTGTCCGCCATTATGGCCCCTTCTTACCTAGAATAGGAAAGTCACAATGATGATGTTAACCTGATGAGCTATTAGCCACCTTGGTTATCATTGAATCTTCAATAAGTACTAGATTAAAAGTCCATATGAATCTATAATTACTTCAAAAATGAGCTATTAGCCACCTTGGTTATCATTGAATCTTCAATAAGTACTAGATTAAAAGTCCATGTGAATCTATAATTACTTCAAAATAAAAAATTTTTAAAAAGGAACTAATGCTACATGTACCCAGCAGAGACTGGGACCAGAATTTTGTTTGTCCTTGAGCCTTAGGCAGGGCAGCTGAAGACCTAGTCCTAGGAGCCTGGCATGGCTGCCCATCCTCCAGATAGGTCTCTCTTCCCTACTCAGTGCCTGCAGACAGTAGAGTTGGCTTTGGTGGCCCAGAGGTGAGTGGAAAGAACGTAGGGATGGGACCGAGGTACTCCCTTCCAGTTCCAATGGGGTAGAGTACATGTCCTTCAGTCCCCTTCACAACTAGTTACACAGGTAATCATGACTCGTGTGCAGCAGCTGAGAGACAGTGTCAGTGCCTCAGTATCTGCACTGCACATGGCAGTCACAGGTAATGTCACTGTTATCAGAGGGGCCTACATAGCTTGTGTATTTCTGGCGTCATAGATCAGAGATGAGGTCCAAGCGGAGCTGTTTCTTGTGGGGTTTTTTATGTGCTCTTTTGAAGCTCTTCAAAGTCCTGACCAACCTCAAATTTCAGGACTCCTAAGTGGAAACAAAACATCATTGAGGAGGAAGAAAGGGGTGCCAGGGTTTGAAGGGCACCCCCTTCTTAAGGGTCTAAAAAGGCTCATTTATTAATTCACTCCTGAGGCCACAGAGCTTTCACCCTGCCCTGCCCAGGAACCTGTGGCTTGCACTGTCTCCCCCAGAGCATGGGCTGTTGCAACCAAACACAGCATGCCCAGCAGTTGCATCAGTCAGCAGGGTTTGCTGAGTATACGCAAATCAGTTCTGGCTCTGGAAGTCTTTTGAATGTTCACAACTGGAGGCAAACCGCCAAAACCACCCAGTATAGGTCTGACTATCCAGAACCTTCACTGTGCCTGTCCTCTCCGTTCAGAGCACCAGCCCAAAGCAAAAACTCTTCCCTTCATGGGACAGGAAAATCGCTGTTCTGGTTTAAGCATTCTATTTAGATTCTGCCAGGCTAGAGTCCTCAAAGGTTGTTGTAGAGTCGAGAAACAAAATGGAAAGATGGGAAAAACTATATCAGGAGTCAAGATGTGGCCTGTGGTCTGGTCTTGGCCACTTATTAGTCATGAGCTCTTGGGCAAGTCACAGAACCTTTTGGGCTTCCTTCCCTCTCCTGTAAAATAGGGTAATACCACTTACTCCACTCAGCCCAGAGGGTGGTTATAGGAATCAAATGAGGCAGTGGGTGTAAATTTATTTGAAAAGTAGACAGGGAGAGTCTTAATATAAGTATTAATTCAAGTAGAAAAGCTGATGAGAGTTTTACTTTAGAACTTAAGGGATGTGTGGGCCGGGCCGGTGGCGCACTACTACAGTGCGCCGCTTGGGAGTGCGGTGGTGCTCCCGCCGAGGGTTCGGATCCCACATACAGACCGGTTCCCGCTCACTGGCTGAGCGAGGTGTGGGCACAGCACCGAGGGTTGCGATCCCGTTGCCGGTCCCGGTTTGCCGGTCCCGGTCCAGTATGGGCACGACACTGAGGGTTGCAATCCGTTGCTGGACACGAAAAAAGACAAAAAGGAAAAAAAAAAAAGAACTTAAGGGATGTGGAGGTGAGAGTCCACTTTATCAGGATTGGAATTCTAAGGAGTTGGGCTAGTCCCCCTTCCTCAGTCTTTCCCTTCCCCACTGTGGTCAAAATGGAAGTTTTTTGTGTTTCAGGAAGTTTCGTCCTTTCCACTATCAGTTTAAATCCTTTCCCGAAATTTCTTTTCTGGGATCTAAAAATGCAAGTCCCTTTGAGGCCCTGATGACTCCAGGCAGCTCACACCATACCAGGTGAGTCTTTCTGGACCCTGAGTACCAAGGTCTGGTTACAGGCCAAAGTCCTCCCCTTCAGGGGCCTGCTGGTCAGATTTGGAAATGGCCATGTGTTTGCTCCTTAGGTGAAGTCTATTCTGGGAACTTAGCCCAGAACAGAGGCACTAGGAGTGTTCCTCCATTTTATTTGTTTGTTGTTCATCCCGACTGAAGAATTTGACATAAGTGTCCAGAAGGCAATAGGTTGGTTTCTCAAGCTCAGGTTTAAAGACCACCATCATCAGAGTACCCTAGAAGCCCATTAAAAAAGCAGGTTCCTGAACTCCAGCCCGCACCTATGGAATCAGAATCTGTGATGATGTTAGCCCCACAAGCTGTATTCTTATGAGCTCCCCAGGTGATTTCAACACACATCAAAGTTTGAGACCTGTTGGGTTAAACATCAGAAATAACTAAGGGGCTTACAGACTTGTTAATGTTCCTACTCCTACTCTGCAGATGTTTGAGAATTTGAACCTTCACTGACCAGAGTAGAGAAGGAATTCAGCTCAAGTGATGGACTAGATGCCTTCTCAGACCATTTCTAACTTCTGGGCTGCAGGGTTAGTTCACGGACCAGGAGATAAGAACAGGGCAGACTCTCAGAGTTGCTAGGGCCAAGGAAGGCCTGTGGGTCCCATCAGCAGATAGAGGCCGCAGGTCAAGAAATAGTGCAACTGGGAGGGAGGGAAGAAAGAGAATGTGGCAGTAGATGGAGTACAGGAGAGAATGAGCTGAGGGTTAAGTTCTAAGTGCCTTTCACACCTTTCCCAGAAGATACAAGAGATGCCAGAGAGAGCTAGTCAGGAGGTGGCCCAGACTTGATGCTGGCAGGGGTTCTAGGCATGGGATGACTTTGAGATAGCAGAAGAGCTGAGGAGCTGTAAAGGGCAAATGAAGAAGCAGTGAAGCTTTGGTGCCTGCATGTGAGGAGCCTGGGCAGGGGGTTGGCCTAGGTGGGACATGGAAGGGGGTGTGGGGCGGGAGGGTTTAGAAAGTATGTATAGGAGGAAATGTTTAATTTTTTAATTTTTAAAATAATGATTATTATATTTTGGTTCAAAATTCAAGAGTTATAAAGGAGGCCAGCCTGTGGCTCACTTGGGAGAGTGTGATGCTGACAACACCAAGTCAAGGGTTAAGATCCCCTTACTGGTCATCTTTTTAAAAAAGGACGTAAAGTGGAAAGTATATATTCCACACTCAGCCTCTAGTTCTTAGGTCTGTCTCCAGAGATATTTTATGTATACACAAGTACATATGTATCGTTTGTTTTTTCTTGTTTTGTTTTGGGGGGGGGGTTTGGGGGGTGGCCGGCTGATATAGGGATCCAGCCTTGGTTGGTGTTCTAACACCACTTCACCTTGGTGTTATAACACTGCTCTCTAACCAGCTGAGGTAACCAACCAGCCCCTTCCTTTGTTTCCTCTTCTTCCTCTTTATGTTATTAAAGAATAATATAATATTTGCTGTGCTGGGTCTTGCTTTTTCTACCTAATATATCCTAATTTCCTATTAATACTAAAGAGCATTCTTACTCCTTTTTATGGCTGCAGAGTATTCTGTTGTATGGAATTTATTTACTGTATTTTATTTAATATTTTATTTAACCAGTTTCTTATTGATGGATGCTTAGATTAGCTGCAATGAACAACCATGTTTTCACAGTAAATTTGTGATTGTTCAAGTATATTTGTGGAATAAATTCCTAAAGGTAGAAATATTGGGACAAAGAGTACCTGCATTTATAGTTTTGATAAGTGGGGCCAAATTGCCTTTCATGGAGGTGATAGCAGTTTGCACTGTCACCCTCACTGTAGGAGAGAGCCTATTTCCCCACCACCTTCCTTAATACTGTGTGCTGTCAGACTTGTTGACCTCTGCCAATCTGATAGTTTGAAAACTGTATGTCAGTATAACTTTTATTTTTTCTTATTATGAATGACATTAAGTATGTTTTCATATGCTGTATCATTTGCTCTTTGCATTGACCTTCTTCATAGCCTTTGCCCATTTTCATTTTTCTATTGGGTTATTGATCATTTTATTAGTGATTTCTAAGAAGCCCTTTATATATTAGGAAAATGAGCCCTTTGTTATTGTAAATATCAAAAACAAAAAAAAAACTCAGGCTTGTGGTTTATTTTTTAACCTTGCTTATGATTTTTGCCACATTTTAAAAAATTGTATGTAGTTGAATTTATCAGCTTTTCTATATGTTCTCTGGGTTTTATGTCATACTTAGAAAGTCTTTAAAGGGGAATGTTTTGGACTTGCTGGGTTTGCTAGGACAGATAAATAGTGCCCTACAGACCATTAGAAATATGGGTCCAATGGCTGGCCAGTTAGCTCTCGGTTAGAGCATGGTGTTGATAACAGCAAGGTCCAGGGTTCTATTTCTGTTACCAGCCACCTGCCAAAAAAAAAAATTCCACAAACAGAAAGTATGGAACCAAAATCCACATGACAAGTCAGATTTGAGAAAGATTTGAAAGTCCACGGTGAAAGGTGGAAGCTGTGAAGGACAAGTCAGCATGAGGGAGAAGACAGACCGAACTAAAGGGGAGGGGACATTCAAGGTGGAGGAGGTCAGGGGCATCGTGACCCTTACTGCTGTGGAGGCCTTTTCCCTTTCATCTTTCAGGTCACATGAATGTGGGTTTGTGTATGAGCAAAGTTGGAATTCCTACGAAGGTTTCTTGCTGCTGCCATCAGCACCCTGTCCTTACCTGTGGTTTGAGATTTGTGGGTGAGGAAAGGACAGAGAGAGGACAGGCTGTGTACAAGGAGGCCTCATCTTCCTTGTCGCCTCTCCTGCCACTGTTGGTACCAAGTGCAGGGCAGGCCTGCCTCTCTGTGCTTGCCTGGCCCATTGGTCCTTCCCCACCCCGGCCCAGGCTGCAGGTCCTGAGCAGTAGCTCCTCCTCTGAGGATACCAGCATTGACTATTTTCCCCCACCCTGTACCCACCCCAGAGAGCCCAAGGATCAAGTGCCAAGCCTGCAATCAGCAACCCGCACCATGCCCAGGAGGAAGAAAGGGTACTGTGAGTGCTGCCAAGAGGCCTTTGAGGAGCTCCATGTGGTGAGCCCCTTCCCCACTCAGCAGCTACTCCCCAGGTTGCTCTGAAAGAGCCTGGCCTGCTGAGGAGGAGCTTTTCCTATCCAGTCTCCATCCTGGCGTGGCCATGTCCTCCAGTGCCTGAAGCCAGGCTGGGAGGTCTGCTTCTGTGCCACCTTGGCTTTGTCTAATGCCCTGTGCCTTCTCTCACCCCGGGTAGCATCTTCAGAGTGCCCAGCACCGGAGCTTTGCCCTAAAAGCCCATCCATATGCAGAAGTAGATCGGATCATCGCCCAGCTCAGCCACAGCTTTACAGATATCGCCTTCCAGGCCAGCCTCCCCAGGTGAGCACCACAGCTGGCGGTACAACCGCCTTCTCACTCTTCTCCTATTGCCTTCTCTAGGTGGAAGGAAACGTCAAGTTGACAGCATCAGGGTCCAGACTGTGAGGTTTTCTCTGTCCTCACCTTTCTTTCCCACTATCCTCTGTCCTTTTTGTTTTGGGGGTGACCAAAAAAAAAAGACCTCCACTTGTGGCTTCAGTTGATCGGGACTAGGCCCAGACCAGAGTGTGACTGCCTTCATACCACACGGGCATTGACGTGGTAGGGAGTGAGCAGTTCTGGCCAGCTAATGGGGGGTAGTTCTTGGGTCTTTTCCAGATGAAGAGAGCAAGGTCTTTCTCCCTCTCTAGAAGTCACCCACAGAAAGGAATTCCAGGGCCCTCTGAGCACAGCTCCTTCCTGCTGCCCACCAAGGGCAGACCTACCTGGGGCTGTGGCTTCATCTTTCACCCCAAATATCCACCTCTGGGCTCAGGGTGGACAGCCAGTCTCTTCAGCTGCCAAAGGGCACAGCCTCCACTGTGAAGTCGTTAAGTGGAAGAGCCTCTAACCTGTTCCTCTGGCCAGCCCCAACCACAAGCTGCAGAGCCAAGAAAGGCTCAGATAGTGCTGGCTGCTACTTCACGGTCAGACCCAAAGAGGAGGCTTTTTTTTTTTTTTTTCCTTTTTTGTCTTTTTTCGTGACCGGTAACGGGATCGCAACCCTCGGTGTCGCGCCCGCACCACGCTCAACCAGTGAGCAGACCGGTCTGTATATGGGATCTGAACCCTCAGCGGGAGTGCTGCCACGCTCCCAGGCGCTGCACTCTACCGAGTGCGCCACCGGGCCGGCCCTCCAAGGAGGAGGCTTTTTTTTTTTTCCTTTTTGTCTTTTTTACTGACCGGCAACAGGATCGCAACCCTCGGTGTTGCGCCCACACCGCGCTCAGCCAGTGAGCGGGAACCGGTCTCCACATGGGATCTGAACCCTCGGCGGGAGCGCCACCGCGCTCCCAAGCAACGCACTCTCCAGTGCGCCACCGGGCCGGCCCAAAGAGGAGGCTTTTAACAGGACACCAGAATGGGCAGCTCTCTGTCTGGACAGTAGAACTCAGAAAGGGCAGCACCACAGGTGCCCCTCTCCCTGCCCTCAGGCCCCACCTGGAAGGATCCCAATTTGCTGCCTGCTCTGGACTTGAGCCCTGCAGCTCACTGAGTGTTGCTGTCCCCACAGGCAGTCAGGTTCCCCAGCTTCTGAATGTGACCCTCCCTGTGCTGAAACTCTGCCCCCCAGCCTGCCCTCCCAGTCCAGGGCAGCATCTTCCAGGATGAAAAAAGAAGATGACTGCCAGGCTCCACGCACCCCAGAGCAGGCTGCGACAGTGGACAGCACGAAGGCACCAGCTGAACCTGTGGGAGCTGGCAAGGTACCTGCACCAGGAGCAAGCTGCCAGGAGCTGGGGGGGGTCAGTTGACATGTTTGTGGACCTCCCAGGGACACCTCTGTCCAGAAGCCCTGCTTGCCAGTGCCTTCTGACCAGCTCTGGTTGTATGGACTTCTCCTCTGGCCAATACCTGGCACTTGTTGGCCACAAGCGGAAGGTTCAGTTTCCCAGTGACAATGCTGAAAAGAGGCCAGGGGGTTCCTGGCCACAGGCTTCATTGGACAACCAATGGCAGGCATCTTCTCTCCCTTCCTCTTCCAAGCTGTAAGTCCAGGCCCCCAGCCTCCTTCCTGCCCTTGTACCACCCACAGAGCTGCCTCTCTCTCCCAGATCCCTTGACCCGGCAGCCCACAGACAGACCAGCAGAGTTCCAGCAGCTGTCAGCCCACTTACATTCAGCTGCCGGCATGCAGCCCCCAGGAGGCCCTGCAGAGAGCCAATCCACCTTTCACCCCCACCCTCCACCAGCCAGTGGGGGAGCCAGCTGCTCCCAATGGTCCTGGGCTCCCCAACCCCTCCAAGTGCCCTGCCTCCCTGTCTCCCAGCCCCAGCCCAGTGCTAGCAGAGAGCTGCTCCTGTGAGTCCCCAGGGTACTAGGCTCTTCACGGTGCCAGACAGCTCCGACTAAAGGGCCAAAGATAACAAGTTAGACCTCTTCTTGGTGCTGCACACCCAGCCAGGACTGACCAGGACACAAGGAGGAGCAGAGCCCTCAGCCCGGCCTTTGAGGTCCAAGTCAGCGACTGTCATGCTAAGCTCTGTGGAGTCACAGAGCCAGTCATCCCGCCACCAGGTCTTTGGGCAGAACCAGAAGAGCCTGGGCTGGGGGCTGCCCTCCCACCCCTACCTCCAAACATGTTCTTGACCAGGCAGCAATCTACAATGGGCTTGCCCAGCCATGGCCAGCCGCCCACACCAGGAGGCGAGGTTGGCATAGCAGGACCACAAAGAAGTGGGAGCAGGAGGAGGCCTGGCCCGGCTTCCTGGCCCTCCACGGGCACTTGCCTCTTTGCAGAGTGATGGTTAGTTGTTGGTGTTCCCCACCCCCACCCCAGTCTCCTTTCCCACAAACATGTGGTCTCTCCTGCTCTCTGAAATGCCTGTTCATGTCCCTTCCCCCAGCCCCCCACGCTCCTGTACACAGATCCTCAGGAACATATGAAGCAGAGGAGGGGCCAGCTGCAGCACTTACCAAGCTCCCTCCCCCAGGCACTTAGTTGGGGCCCAGCACTGACCTTTCCTCTGAGCCCAGGATGTGGCCAGAGTCCCCTCTGGGGACCCCTCTCAGCTCTTCTCTGCCTCTTCAGCTCGAGCTGCCCACCCAGAGTTCTGCTCCGGGGCCAGTGTCTCACCTGCCAACTTCCGCCTCATCCTCTTCCCTCCCTCCCTCCTTCCCATTCTCCTTCCCCAAAGACCTCCTTTCTCCCCATTTCTTGCAGCCAAGCCATTAATCTGGAGACAGAAATGGGTTTGCTATCGATTCTTTGGCCACTTTTTTTTTTTATTACTATTTGTACTGTGGTTCTTCTCACCCTTCTCTGCTTCTGTGTGTTTGTCTCTTTAAATGTTGAAGCTACCAGAAGCCTGGTGCTGTTCTCTGTCTCCTTTCAGAGGAGGAAAGGGGGACCTAGCTGTGGGTGAGGACCTGAGTTGTTAGTTTAGAAACAGAGCAACTGTGTGGACAGCCCTCCTGAGAGGTCGTGTTTGGCCTTTTTATGCCATTCCTGTTAAATTTCACAATTAATCTTGGTTCAACAAATGTAAATAAATTTGTTAATAACAAATAGCTAAGAGATGGGGCTGGAGTGCAATGTGTCGGTCCTTCATCTGCCCTCCAGTGACCCAAGATGGAGGTGAGGACCCTGCATATACCAACAGAATAACTGGCTAGCTGGATGGGACCTCCTGCATATCAAGGACGTATGAGTGCCATCACCCTCCTGCCAGCCTAGCCCGAGGGCTGGGCACCATCTGTCCCTCCCTAGCCTTCTCTTCTCAGTCTTGTCTGGTCACTCACTTGGCTCTGCTGCTCCTGAGTGGTCGCCTGCAGAGGGCATGCTCATCACCTTCTCCCAAGAAGACACCTTTGCCTCAGTGGGCATTCCTTCTAGAGTCTCTCTTCCCTTCCCTGGGCCCAGGCAGTGGCTTACTTCTGGGCTCTGCTGGATACGTCCCTTCTGGGCTCTGCTGGATACGCCTTGTTCCCACTTCCTTCTCCATTGTACTATCCCTCTGGATGAGGACAATTTCCCCCTCACTCTTGCCCCTTTCTCAGATTTTTCTGATACCTTTCGCATGCTACTCACTCAAAGCCATCACGCCAGATTCTGATGTCCCATCACTGTCTGCCTGGGACCCATTCCCCCTACCTCATGTCTGGCTGCATGGCCTTTCCCTCCTATCTCAATGACTGTGACCTTGGACAGCTCTGCCAGGCCAAACCCCAAGGTGACAGCACTCTTGAGCTATTTCTCCATTCCGGCTTCCAGACATAGATCTAGGTTAGAGGGGAACCCAGAACACCTGAGACCTGACCCAGGACAGATGGGTGCTTCTTGATGTCAGTGAGGCCCCTCAGTGGCTCCTTGACATGAGGACTGGTCAGACCTCCTTGTACTCCTCAAGTCTTTTTCCACATCCACCTCCCTCTCAGCAGATGACCTTGACTCAGACTCAGTGGACACCATCTCATCTCGCCAACAGTCCCCCTTCATCATCGTCTTACTCTTTCTCCTCCCTAAGTCGCGCCATCCATGTGCCCTCCAGTCCACCCAGCCACCCTTGTCAATTTCCTTCTCTCAGCCTCACCACCTCTCCTTCCCCCTGTCCAGAAACTTGATGCTCCTCCATCCTGGAAAATATTTAAATTGATCGAGCAGCTTGAGGAAGGCTCCCTCCTTCTGTTCTCTGGCTGCTTCCTGCAGTCTCCACCCACTGCCTCTGTGTCTTCTCCTGCTTCCCCTTCCAAACTTTCTCAGTAGCTCTGCCTGAAGCATTCTACTGGGATCGTCTACTCTGAAGTCATTGGGTAGCCTGCTAGTTACCAAAGTCAGGTGCCTTTTCTCCTTTCCCACCTCCTTAAAACCTGGCTCCCTCTGTCCCAGCAGCCCTACGTTGGTGCGTTCTCCTCCCTCTCCCTCACCTCCCCCTTTCGTCCCATTCGTTCAGTGCAGGCCTTAGGTGTCTGCCCTGAATCATCTCCCACACTCCTGAAGATCCCTCGAGCCTGACTGTGTCTCCCAGACTCAGACCCGGACCTTGTTCTCACTTCTCTCTGGTCGGTCACTTTTCTGCAGGTATGACCTGACTTGGTAGCTCCTCCACCCCTGACTCCCTTCAGAATTCTCATCTCTCAGGGTAGAAGGCAGGATCTAGCCACACCCTTAACTCACTGTGACTTTAGGCAAGTCCCTTTACTACTGTGGGCCTCAGTTTCCTCATCTTTAAGTGAGGAGCTTGGATGAGGTAATTTCAAAGGTCCTTCCAGTATTAAAATACCGTGATGTCCAAAGAATCTCTTATATCCTTCCCCATCCTGCTATCACTGCAAACACAGCTTACCTAAGAACACATTGGCTCCCCTTTCCCACTCTGTCATTATGTTCCTCCCAGCATCTGACTGCTGCCTCTCTCAGCCTCTCCCTGAGCCAAATCCAGTCTTAAGTCCTATTCCGTCTCCTTCCTGAATGACCTCCCCATTATGCCCACCCTGTCTCCTGATCTCTCTGCCATCTCCCTCCACCCAGTCTCCCAACTGGCCAGACTAACCCACTGGTCTCTGACTACCATGGGCAGTTCAGCCTCCGAGTCTCTGCTCTTTTTCCCTGTCCTGGAATGCTCCATTCTTCAAGACACAGGTTCTACATTCTCTGTGCACCTGTAGTGTAAGCTTTAAGGGCATGAGCCTCAGAGTCACACAGGCCTAAGTCCAAATTTGTCCTATCACTTAACTGTGGCCTTTGACAAACTCTTGAAACTCTGTTTTCTTATTCTGAAAAATGGAAGTAATAATAGTTGCTACCTCACTGGGAAGTAGCAAGAATTAAATCAGATACGTTCGTGAGATGCTTGGCACAGAGCTCGGTACATTGTCTCAACTAACTTATTACCACTCACACACCTATGAGGTCTCCCTCCTAGACACTTAAATAGAGCTTATTTTCACTAATCTCCCACCTTGTGACGTCACTGTGTGACACACACACACACACACACACCCGTCCTCATTGCTAGCGTAAATTTGTGAATGAAGCTGCAAAGGGGCCACTGTGAGATGACTCTTCCCGAAGGCTGGCTCTCTAGCGCTCTAGAGGATCCCTTGCATGGGAAAAAAGGGGCATTGGGCCCTTGGGGTGTGACTACATTTGTGCCCCACAAGCCACTCAAAGGAAAGGTGTGCCTGGGATCCTGGCACCCCAGCTGCCTTCAGCTCCTCTCTGGGCAAGGCCCGAGAGCTTCAGAGATTAAAGGAGAGGGCCCCTCAGACAACCAAGAGGGAGGAGCATGAGGTTTCCCTGGAAGGAATGTTTAGATGACAAGAGCGGTCTTCTGCTCTGGGCTAGCATCTGAGGAATTGAGATGAACTTGCTGTCCAAATGCGGGGCCATTTCCCCTGCTCCCCAACCCTCATGTCACCAGGCATAGTCCCTGTGAGGCCTCTAAGCCATAAAGGGACTTTGGATACTGAACAGGGTTTTCTCTTCGGTGCCTTTGACAATAGGAGCCCAGGTTGACTGAGCCCCCTCCGTTCACTGAACATGTGTGGCTCAGCCACTGTTCAACCCCAATTTCACAAATGAGGAAACTCAGGCTTTTCTAACCCTGATTTCACAAATGAGGAAAGCCAGGCTCAGAGAGGCTTGGGGACTCGCTGAAGGTCACATATCCAGTGAGTGGGGGAATCAGGATTGGGACCCCAACCTGGAGCCCTGAGTCCTGCTCTTACCACTGAACAACCCTGCCCCCTGGACTGGTGAGGTCTGTGCTGCAGGCCTCAAAGGCTGGGCACTGGGCCTGGACGGCCTCCACTGTTAGGAATCACTGCCCATTGCACCATCCCACGGCAGGGAGCAGCCAGCCAACACCCCACCTTACCTGCAGTTGTTGACACAGGTCTTGGCCCTGCATCAGTTCAGCTTGGCCCTTGTGCAGGAAAATTTGAAGGAGGAATTGGCTGAAGGGCAGGAAGAGCTGCAGGGGAAGGAGGCCTCAGCCCCGTTATGAGGCTTCCCGGGCCTCCTGGTTGGGGGGGGGGGATTCCTGAAGGTGGAAACCAGAGCCCAGCTCTTAACGGGGGCCGCACAGCTCTCTCAGCAAGGGTGATCTCAAGCGTGGCATTAAGACAGCAGAAACACTGGCCACCAGCCTTAAGCATTGGGCAGAGCGACCAAAGGAGTCAGTCATAACTGTGGAGTCGGAGCGGGAATGCCCCTAGGCAACCCCCTGTTTGAGGGGAAAACACAGGCCTACCCCAATCTAAGAAAATAGTCCTTGCTATCAGGTGCCAGGTCTGATGAGGGAGACAATCCCTGCTCTTGTGAAGTCTCAGTCTGATAGGGGACCCCCCATTTGAAGACAGGCAGCCCCTGACCTCAGGAGGGAAGGTGGGTGAGGGAAATTGCAGCAAGCTTCCTGCTCAGAGAGGCACGCAGCTCGTAGCAGAGCTGAGACAGCATAAGATGGGGAGAGGTGGAACCTCCGGCGTTGGGGAGTGGGGTGTGGTTAAGGGAAAGTCAAGATGTCCAGCTAGGTCTGCTTGGAGCTGGGGAACCCAGGAAGGTAAGTGGCTTTTGGGGGCTGAGAAGTCGTACAACTGAGCCCCCACTGGAGCTGGCCCAGGGTGCCACCAGGAGAGAGTCATTCTGGGGACTGGGAAGGTCTCCCCAACCAGAAGTCCAAGGTACCGGGGCCACAGAGGTGGTGGGAATATGCCCCACCTGAAGAGGCCTGAATCACAGACTGGGCTCACTGTGTGGTCTTGGATATGTAGGTGGGAGACCCAGACTCTCCCAGCCCCTGGGCCCTCCACTGTGAAATGACAAACCCCACCTAGCCTCTTGGGAGGCACACCTGATCAGGGCTTATTGATGTGGCCCTGGGACATGGTACAGGTGGGGCAACATGGAGTCACCCTGGTGTCTGGGGTGCCACAAAAGGGGGGAGGTGAGAGACCAAATGTATCTGTCCCCTCTGGTCCCAGATAGAGGGACCAGATAGAGATGGAGGTGGGGATAGGGATGGCCAGAGAGTAGTGAGACCCTGGAGTATGGGACATGCCTCTCACTGATCAGCTGTGTGACTTAGGGAAGCTCATGTAGCCTCTTGGAATCTGTTTTCCCATCTATAAAATGGGGAGCACAATCTCTCCCTCCTGGGTAATTGTGAGTTTCCAGGGAATACCACATGGTAGGCCCTCATTCCTTGGAGCGCCCTTGCCACTGCCTCCTTGAGGTTTTCAAGATGTCTCCAGAGTGAAGGAAGCATTGGCTCAGCCTTGCTGAGCATCTGGGTCTGGAGTAGCAGGTGGTCGGGG